ATAAAAACTATTGGTGTAATTCATTCAATTATACCAGTTAAAAAGTTATAAAAGTTATTAGGAGAACTTGAAGGTAAAAAGTCAAATACAAGGTACAAAAAAGAAATATATTCGCTTTGCTTTTTACACATTTTTCGAAATTATCTCTCAAAACATCTGTTTTTGCATGCATATATTTTAATTAAAATGTCAAAAAATTATTAAAAATGTCATTTTTCCAAAGAGACCCTCAGTAGTACTTTCATAAAGTAATTATATATATTTTAAAAAATTTATAATTTTAATTATTATTATTTATAAAATTTAACATTTATAAATATTTTTTAATTGAGTCCAAAAAAGAAATTCTTTGGGTACTGTTTGTCTAAAGGTGGAGAAAAGATATTTCTCTCAAAAGTAAAGTTTTATTTATTTATTTATTTATTTATAAATTTAAGTACGATTTGGCAATGTTTTGAAGAAATCTTACTTCACCGCCAATCTATAATGAAAATATTTTTTTTCCACCGACCTAGTTAAGAGTAAAAACATGGAGGCTAAAATTAAGATTTTCAACAATGGCTGGTTGCAACCGTTTGAAATTTATAGCGTCAGCTGCATTTGCATTTAATGTTTTTACATTGTCTAATTTATCTATAAATAACCTATGTACCGGAGAGATCAGTGGGTGGGAGAAAGAAAATAAAAAAGAGAGGAGATTGTAGTTCATGCTTTGTTTGTTTTTCAAAATTATTTGAGTGAATTTAAATTGAGTTTGGTTCAGTGTTAATCCTCTCATTGTGAATCACCATAAGTGGTTTGCACCTCACTCTCACCAACAATGGTATCAGAGCACCAAGGGGCCCTGTTTCTTCAAAAAATAGTAGAACAGAGCATCATTGAGCCGAGTCGTCGAGAGGAGCCCGCCGCCAAGCCGTAGACCGAGCCGAGCAGAGCCGAGCCACATTGCCAAGCTACTGATGTCATGCTGATGTCAGCCGATCTACAAAAATTATTCGATGCATCTCAAAAGTTCCAGATTCAGCCGATCTGAACTGTCTAACTATTTTGGTTGGATCTAAGCCGTTTGAAGTCTATTTTTGGTGATCCAATAGTGCTTTCCAACTATTTGGAAAATTCCAGACACATCGGTATGGTCAAAATTTGCAAATTATACCCTAAAAATTTGCAGATTTCTTAAAGTCAATCCATGGTCAACACAAACAATTTCTTTTAGCCCTAGTTTCTAAAACTTAGTAAGGAAAACTATAAAAATTGGAGTATTCAAATGCAAGTTCTACTAGCCTCACAAGATTTGTGGGAGTTAGTGGGTCGAGGATACGATGAGCCAGCTACTCTCGAAGATGAAGGAAGTTTAAATGAAGTTCAGAAGACGGCGTTAAAAGATTTAAAGAAGAGACATAAAAGGCCTTGTATCTACTTTATCAAGACATTGATGGGTCAAGCTTTGAGAAGATTTCAGTAGCAACAACCTCGAAAGAGGCATGGAGTATTCTTCGTAATTCACACTGTGGAATTGAAAAGACGATCAGAGTTCGACTCTAGGTGTTATATGGTCAATTCGAGATGTTGCACATGAATAAGAATGAGTCAATTTCTGAATACTTCAACAGAACATTGACCATTGTTAATTAGATTAGAAGATATGGAGAGAAGATGGAATCTTTTCAAGTGATAGAGAAGATTCTATGATCACTCAGTCCCAAGTTCGAGCACGTGGTTGTAGCAATAGAAAAGTCTAAGGATCTCAATGCCATGACCACCGATGAGCTGATGGGCACACTTGAGATTCATGAACAAAGGATCAACAAGAAGACTCCCTTAAGTTCTCTAGAGCAAGCTCTTCAATCAAAGTTGTCTTTCAGAGATGATAGAAACGAGCAAGAGGGGACATCACAAAGAAGCCGAGAAAGAGGTCGTGGTTACAATAACCGTAGTTTTGGTTTTCGAGGAAGAGGAAGAAGAGGTCCAGCTAGAGGAGGAAGAACTCAATCACACTTTGCTCCAAGAGGAAGAGCAAGAGGAAGAGGATGTGGTTACAACAACCGACGAGGATTTGACAAAAACAATGTTCAGTGCTACCATTGCCACAAGTTTGGGCATTACAATAATGAATGTCGAAGTAGATCAACAACATAAGCTAGAGAGCAAGTTAATTTTGTCGAGTAGGAAACAAAGTCAGACCTACAGTCCTATTTGTCCACCATGGAGATACTGAAAATCAAAACAATGTTTGGTATCTAGATTCAGGAGCCAGTAATCACATGTGTGGTAAAAGAGAGTTGTTCGTTGAGCTTGACGAGACTGTACAAGCACAAGTTTCATTTGGTGATTCTTCAAAGACTCCAGCGAAAAGAAGAGGCAATATTTTGATCAAGCTCAAGAATGGAGATCATGATTACATCTCCAATGTTTATTATGTTCCTGCCATGAAGAACAACATTTTGAGTATGGGACAACTCCTAGAGAAAGGATACGACATCAGCATGAAAGATTGTCATCTTACCATCAAAGACAATCATGGTAATTTGATCGCTCGGGTGAGAATGTCCAAGAATCGGATGTTTGCATTGAACATCCAACATGATGCTACGAAGTGCTTAAGTGCCATCATCAAAGACAAAGACTAGTTATGGCATTTGAGGTTTGGGCATCTCAACTTTGGAAGCTTGAAGTTGTTGTCAAGCAAGAATATGGTGAAAGGGCTCCCTCATATTGCTCATACTAATGAATTCTGTGAAAGCTGCATTCTTGGTGAGCATCACAGAACTAACTTTGCCAAAGAAGTAAAGTGGAGAGCAACAAAGCTGCTGGAGCTAGTGTACACTAATGTGTGTGGTCCAATGAAGCCAATGTTAAATGGACAGAATAGATATTTTCTCACCTTCATTGATGATTATAGTCGAAAGACATGGGTGTATTTTCTTGAAAGAAAGTCAGAGGTGTTTAGTATCTTCAAAGAATTCAAAGCTTCTGTAGAAAAGCAAAGCGGCTACTACATCAAGACATGGCGGTCAGATCAAGGTGGAGAATATATATCTGATATTTTTGAAACATTTTGTAAAGAGCATGGAATCAAGCATCGAATAACACCATCCTATATGCCACAGCTAAATGTTGTTGTTGAAAGGAAGAATCGCATAATCTTAGATATGGCAAGAAACATGTTGAATGGAAAAGGATTGCCCAAGCAATTTTGGGCTGAAGCCGTATCATATGCTGTGTATATCCTAATTAGATGCCCAACTAGGGGACTTCACTTTGTGACTCCAGAAAAGGCTTGGAGTTCACATAAGCCAAGTGTCAACCATCTCAGAATATTTGGGTGTGTTGCGTACACCAAGATTCCAGAAGCAAGAAGAATCAAGTTCGATGATAAGGGAGAAAAATATATCCTTGTTGGATATGGAGACAGAATAATGGGATACAAGTTGTATAATCCCATTACTAGATAGGTGATCATGAGTAGAGATATGATATTTGAAGAAGAAGAAGCTTGGAACTGGAATCAAGATGAAGTTGTTAAAGATGCAGAACTCATTCTTAAAGATGAAACATTAAAAGCGCCGGTTGAAATCACAAGAGAAGTTCAAGATGAGCCACAAACTCCTCCACATATAATACCTGCACCTAGATCGCCTGTTTCTCACTGAAGTGATGCAGCATCATCATCATCATCATCAGACGATAGTTTTTTCAAACAACCAAGATCAATGAGAAATTTACAGGAGATATATGAAGCTATAGAAGAAGAAGATCTGAATTTGTTCTGCCTACTCGTAGATAGTGATCCACTTATTTTCTCAGAAGCCATCCAAGAAGATAAATGGAAGAAAGCAATGGATGAAGAAATTCATGCCATTGAGAAAAATGACACATGGAAGCTTACCAGTCTACCAGAGGGGCACAAACTTATTGGAGTGAAATGGGTATACAAGACAAATAGGAATGCATAAGGCGAAGTGCAATGCTACAATACAAGATTAGTGGCAAAATGTTACAAGCAGAGAGCTAGAATTGATTATGGAGAGGTGTTTGCTCCAGTTGCCCGGTTGGAGACTATCAGGCTAATTATTTCTTTGGCTGCCCAGTGGCAGATCTATCAACTTGATGTGAAATTTGCAATTCTTAATGGTTTTTTTGAAGAAGAAATCTGTATTAAACAACCTTCGACGTATGTTCAGAATGGGCATGAGGACAAAGTGTACAAATTGAAGAAAACACTTCATGAATTGAAGCAAGCTTCGTGTGTATGGAATACTAGCATTGATCAGTATTTTCATGACAATGGTTTTGAAAAATGCCCATATGAGCACGGACTATATTTGAAGAAGGAAGTTGATGGAAGCATGTTGCTTGCTTGTCTTTTTGTTAATGATCTAATTTTCACTAGAAACAATCAAACCATGTTCAAAGAATCTAAAAGAAGCATGGTCCAAGAATTTAAAATGACAGATATTGGATTGATGGCTCATTTTCTTGGCATTGAAGTGGCACAAAGAAAAGATGGAATGTTTATTTTCCAAAGTGGCTATGCCAAGGAGATTCTCAAGAGATATGGAATCAAGAATTGCAATTTAGTGAACACTCTTGTAGACAGTGAAGTGGAGCTCAAAAAAGGTACAAAGGCGGTTGATATGGATCCAACTTATTTCAAGAGCTTAGCTGGAAGTCTTCGTTATCTTACTTGCACTAGGCTAGACATACTTTATGGAGTAGGACTGATTAGCAGATATATGGAAACACCGGATCAGTCACACCTTTATGAAGTAAAAAGAATTCTCTGCTACATCAAAGTAACAATCGATGATGGTTTATTCTATAAACCAACTGATAATTTCAATCTTGTTAGCCATTCACATAGTGACTGGGGACATGACTTAGATGAACGAAAGAGTACTACTAGGTTTGCTTTCTTTATGGGAAATACAGTGTTCACTTGGTCGTCCAAGAAGCAAGCTATTGTGACACTATCAACTTGAGGTACAAAGGCGGTTGATATGGATCCAACTTATTTCAAGAGCTTAGCTGGAAGTCTTCGTTATCTTACTTGCACCAGGCTAGACATACTCTATGGAGTAGGACTGATTAGCAGATATATGGAAACACCGGATCAATCACACCTTTATGCAGTAAAAAGAATTCTCCGCTACATCAAAGTAACAATCGATGATGGTTTATTCTATAAACCAACTGATAATTTTAGTCTTGTTAGCCATTCAGATAGTGACTGGGGACATGAATTAGATGAACGAAAGAGTACTATTGGGTTTGCTTTCTTTATGGGAAATACAGTGTTCACTTGGTCGTCCAAGAAGCAAGCTATTGTGACACTATCAACTTGTGAAGTTGAGTATGTGTAGCTCGACTTTTTCGTGCCCTCTTTCGGAAGTTTGAAAGAAGCTCTATAGTTCGGACTCTTACAGTTCTGAATCTAATCTCATAAGTGCAATGTGAAATAGATAAACACCAAAGAGTCCAAATCTAGCAAATCATTTGGAAAATTGATTTTGAATAAAAAATGTCAAAATTGGACTACTTTGCCAGACACAGAGTCGCCACCTAAATATTTACTTTGGAAAAATTTAGGAAACCCATGACTCGTGCCAAAGGCCACGTGTCTATCATCACCAAGATTATCTCGGCTCAGGAACTTTGGTACGAGAGGGGAAGGTCATGAATGGAGCACCCCTGCTCGCCTGATAAAAAATCGGTCTCTACTAATCATTATATGATTGTTATTTACGTTATATGCTTTTCTTCTGGTTTATTAAGCTAGCATTATTATGTGATGTGCACATCCAAGTATAGACTAAAATTGCAAGAATTGGAATGTTTCAATTTCATGTTTATTTTCGAAAAGAGTTTTGCAAATTTGCCACTTGCAAAAGTGGGCTTATATACACATTTGATCAAATTATTCCAATTCAAGCAACTAACCTTCATCCACATGCATTCAAGAAGTTTAGCACTTAAACAATTAGACTCATGGCAAGCATGTTATACATGGCAGTCACTCACACTCATGCAAGTATGCTAAAGCACTAAAAAGTCACCTAGTACTCCAAGCTAAGATAAAACAAAAGAGTTAGAAAAATGCATGATTCCTAACTATGCGATATGACTAATGCAACACATACAAAGAATGCAATTAATAAGCTCGGCTACTAATATGGTATATGAATCGATTTGATAGCATGCAGTCTAAACACGTATTCAAAGAAGTATTTAAACTAACAATGCATTTAGAATGATGAACCAAGCTTGCGTGCATGCAATACAAGTGAATGCAAACACGAAGTATGCTAAACAAAACATGATGTCCTTAATCTAACCATCGTAAGTAGTTAAATAAAAGGGAGAAAGACGTGGGGTTGGAAGACATACACATTATTACAACATTGCGCTCTCACAAATGAGAGTCTGAATGACTTAAGCTAACTAGTTAACTAAACTAAGCTAATTAAGTTAATTATTACAAACCGAATAAATAGCTAAACTACTTAACTAATTATTATAACACTTGAATTAATTAACTAGTTAACTAACTAATTAAATAATTACCACGCAGGTGCAATTAATGATTAAACTAAACAACTAACTACTACGCCTCGGGAAATGAGGGATGTGCATGCGCATGTTGGGTTTCCACTCGAAAAGACCACCGTTTTGCTTCCGAATGCCTCTGTTTGCATAGTAAAACACCAACATTGCTGCTCACTCTGCTCTGCCTTACCAACACTCTGCTGAATTTTGCATCAGTGGCTGGCCAGTCACTAGTAAAGGTTGTCGGCCATCAGCCGGCCATGGTTGAAGGTTTACCGGCCATGGAAAGTGGCTGCATAGGTTTATCTTGCTACAACAGAGGACAAACAAAGCATGTACAGGATATTTCAAGGGTTTGTTTGCAGAACCTACCCTCATTTTCATGGGAAAATCAAAGGAGTAGCAAGCTTTGGTTCACAAACCATTAATGGATGCAATTTCATTGCATGATGGCTTGCGAAACCAAATGTGCAAGTTCAATAAATGCAAAACAAGACACAAGCCTCCGCCCTTTCATGAATGATCAAGGGAAGAAGTTGACCTTGGAGACTTGAATCATTTCATCACTAGCAAGTATGAAATGGTTCAAGCTTCTATGTGTTCAATTAATGTCCGATTGAACATAACCAAATATTATCTTGCTCACTTTTAGTCCCAAGTTTTAGTTACTCATTTTAATTTACTAACCATTCTTTAATCTAATTAAGTCCAAAAGGTGAATTAAAGTCCTCTAATGGAAAGAGGGCTCAAAACACAAGTATAGACACCCCATTTTTGACCGTCCTCCAGACTTGGACGTCACCATTGGAACACTTGGTGATTACCTTTGTTTGTGTTCGTCTTGAATTCCCGGAGGTCTCGATTGCGTGCCTTGCCTCAGGATTTCTCGACTCGACCGTGTTGTGTCTGGTTTTGCACCAAACACTTGTGCTTTGCCTTGGAGGGGCAGGGAATGTCTTGTGAGGCATCCCCACACATCACCGGCCATGGCTTGAGGCCACCGGCCAGTGATTTTATGCCATCGGCAATGTATATTGCCGGTCGGCACTGTTTGTTGCCGGTCGGCCGTTTATTTTGCCAAAATGGCAATTTTGAATGGCCGATCACTGTTCATCTACTTTTAGTAGATATTTTGTGCCAGCTGTGATAGCTGGCACCCACTCTGTTCTCCTCCATACACGTGTATGGAGGGATTTCTCTCTTGACAAGCTTATTTGACAAGCTTTACAAGAGAGAGCTCTATAAGAGAGAGTCTCCTCTCTTGGATTTAGGGTTAGACAACATAGTTAGAGAGCTCTAATATTAGGGTTAGGAATTTATATATATTCTATCTCTATACCTCTCTTTCTTGAGTGTTCTAGGTGTGTTTGTTCATAGTATTATACACAAACACACACTACTACACCTTTTCTTGGTTATTGAGGGCCAAAGGGTTATTTTGGAGGTTTTGAAACTGGTTTCAACCTAAAAAAGCTGCTGGAGCTCCATTGTTGAAGAGGGCCTTCAAGGGTAAGAAACTTGCTCCTTTTTACCCCTTTCTTGCATTGTATTTTTGCCTACCTTACAACTGTTTTTGTGTTTAGTGTATAACATAAAAAAGTTCTGTTTTTAGGCCCTCTAAATAGTTGTTTAAGGTTGTTTCAAGCTTTGGGGTTGTTTGACCCCTCTTAAGCCTTGTAAGGCTCCATTTTGTGCCATTTTGAGTGAGCTCTGGAACTTTGGTGTTTAGGCCTCCTCACCACTGAAATCTTGAGGGATTTTAGTGGTAAATATGGTGCCTTGAAGTCCCAAGGAGGAGAGGGCCACCCCCTCTCCTTATTGTTCTTGAAAAGGACCATTTTTGGCCTCTTGAGGGAGCACCATGTTTAGGTTCATGTTGACCATGCCTTAGCTGATTTTTATGCTTATTATGTCATAATATGCCTCTGTTTTTAGTTGGTTTTGGTACACCATGCTTGCTTAGCATACATGTCTTGTAATGCCATTTTGTTGCCTTAACATGCCTTAGGTTGTAAACCATTGTTCTAGCATGTTTTAGGCTTGGCTTTGTGAAACTTTCATGCTTATTTTGCCATGATTAAGGTCTGTCCTTAGTTGTTTTGGTCGACCATGGCATGCATTATATAGCCCCTTTGCATTTTTGGTTTGTTGGCCTTAAGTGTATGAGTGTGTTGCATGCATCACTTGCTTCGATTTAGTGGGTTGGGATCATTTTCCATGCTATTTTAGTCCCTTTGATATGCTTGTATGCTTGCCTTGGACGCCTCTTTAATGCTTTGAAAGCTTATGTTGCATGCTCCATGTTTTGGCATTTGTGCGTGCTTTCGAATTTGAGCCACTTAGATGCCATCTAGGGAGTCCCTTTGCATGGTTTAGGTCTGCCTTGGACCTATTTTAAGCCTTCTTAGCCTTGTGAGGCTTGGTTGGCTTAGCCATGGTTTAAGTCCCCTTTGACTTGCTTTAAATGCTTGGACCATTTGCTTGCTAATGTTTGTCTTGTTTAAGTTGGTTTGGCACCTCTTATAGCATGATTTTCAAGGCTTATAATGCATGCCATATGTCCATGATTCTTCCCTTTTAAGTGTGCCTAAAAGTTGTCCTTTGATGCTTAAGTGTTAGGCCTTAACATGTGCATGTGTGTATGTGTGTTTGGTCCCATTTTCTTAAGTTTTTGGCCACTGTTTTGGACCTAACTTAGAGCTGTCCAATTAGTGTAAGTCCATCCCTTGCATGCCATTCAAGTGTTGTTACATCATCCCATGTTTGCATGCTTTGGTTGCACAAGTTACATGCTTGAAATCACTTACATTCGCCTTGCATTCCATTGGTCAAGTTGCTAGCATGTTGCGTGATTGGATTACATCTTGCATGCTCTAATGGTTTGCGTAATTGTGGCATGCTTGTTTGCTTTGTTGCTTAGTTTGTGTACCTAATGTGCATTGTATGTTTGTATGCTCTCTTTTATGCCATGTTGCATATTAGCTAACATGCTTAGGTTGCATCTCATTGAACATACATGCCTTGCCTCTTGAAGTCAAGTGATAGAGGTTGGGCCTTTATGTGCTCACTTGGTTTGCATTTCGTTTGACATGAAAATACGCAACTTGATCTCTTGGGCCATCACGCATTGAAATGCGCGATTGATGGTCCAAGAACCATGGATCATGTCCCTTTGAGTCATACACATGATAAGGGATAGGATCAATGCATGCATTGCTTGAATTGCATTGCCATGCTAGGCCTTGCCGTCCACTGCTGTCAATTACAGATTCTGCAGACATTCTTTGCCGACCGGCAGTGTTCAGTGCCGACCGGCAATCCATTGGTGGCCGATAGCTTCACCAACAGCCGATGATCACATATTACTGCCGGTGGCCATTCTACTCAGCCGGTGGTGTCTCCTAATGTCCAGGGAAGCAATTCTGGGACTTTGGCAGTCTTCAAAAAGGCAGAGCAGGGAAAACAGAGGCAGCCTATGCATGGCAGTGCACTTCCGAGCAAGACCCGAGCACGCGCGCATCGAACCCTCTTCCCGAGGCCCCTTTTATTGCTTTTCTTACGCTTAGTTAATTCGTTAATTAATTAGGGGATTTGTAATGATTAATTAGCTTGCGAGTTAGTTAATTTGTACTATTCTTTCGGTCCCTCCGAGCGAGGGCAAATTTGTAATAAGTGTGGGTGAGTGTGTGCATGTCTTCCAACCCCCACTTCTTTCTCCCTTTTACTTACCTGCTTTGATGGTTAGTAATAGGTCATGTTTAATTTAGCATACCTTATGCTATGCATGCGTGCATCATTCATCAGTATTGCATGCAAC